CGCGGTAAGAGAGGAGCCCACGGCAGTCCGGTAGGATAGGCTGAGTTGTGACAAGTTCTACCCCGAAAGTGACCACCTTTGGGGCACTGAGGGACCGCTTGACGTGGCCACTCGTCGGTTTCGGTTTCACCTACTGGCTACTAATTTTAACAGCAGACGTTCGGAGACTGCTAAGTGGGTTTGTTCGTTATGCTTGGTTACGGTTAGAGCCTATGGGTTAGTCTATTCGAGAACATTTTAGGGCCGTGGTATGATGAATAAATGAATTAGCGGGGAGAGGGCAATATCAGAATAAAGTCGACCATCGGGCACCGGCTGTGTGCCGCAGCGTCTCAGTCAAAAGACACCATAATGGCTGCAATGCTCTGAGTCAGGCTATGCTGGGATGATAAAACACGAGAGGGAGAGGGCAATGTAAGGTTCAATCAACCAAGGCTCAATCGGTTCAATCAACCACTGACGACTAGTCCGCTGTACTGCTGGGACGGCATTTCAGCGCCGGGACATACTGTTTTGACGGCAAGTCACAACGGGACAGACTAGAGCATACATTTGTTGAAATGGTCACTCCGAAGCTGACTTTCATCGGTTGTCTGCTAGGCGGACCGTTAAAGGGACTGTCCCACCTTCAAAAAATTGCTTTGATATACTGTTCTTGTGTTGCAAGACATAGATTATGGGCCCCTTTACACGAAATTGGCAAACATTCGGCCCATAGTTGGCTAATTGTTTAAAAATTCCAATTTAAAGCTTTTGGATCGATTACGTCATATGATTGTTTTTTTATCGGGCAAAGTTTTTTTCCTAGCTGCCAAATCGGTGGCACAAAGTTTTGTTACGCTTCTGCCGCGAATAGTACAAACATTGCGCATAAACTCAGGAAATTGGTAAACATGTTTAATGTTCATGGAAAGGATTGAAATAAAAATTGGAAAATTGAAGCTTGAACTTTGTCCAGAAGAAGGTCGCAAACTGCAAAGAATATCAACAAGGCCTTATTTATCATTTTTAAAAAGTTATAGAATGCTCCCTAATAAGCAAAAGCAAGATATTGATGTTTGATTATTGATGCTGCCCACAATGTCTTGGGCACATGGATGATGGAAGTGAGCTCAACTTCAATAATCAGACTTAAGAATCACAATGGATATAGCCATGAGCCAGACTGCAAAGTGGGGCAATTTTGTCTAGATTTTGTCAGTGCGGACTCCCTCGTCTGGTGCGGATTTAAGTGTGGTGCGGTGCGGATTTGGTCTAGTGTGGTGTGGATGTAGTGTAGCGGGGTGCGAATTTGGCTTGCTGTGGTGCAGATGTGTAGCATTGTGGGGATTTGAGGTCAGTGCAGATTTTGACTGGCCATTTTGGGGGCCATTTTGGGGTTTGGTGCATTTTTTGTGTTCTCTCAGGCCTCAGCCCCCTTTGGTGTGAATTTTCGGGCTCTGTTTGAATGGTTTGTGTCAATTTTGAGCTTGGGAGTTGGGCCAGTGCTCCTTGGCGACCTGCGAGCCATACTCTGCAGTACTGGCCTGGGCCCATGAGCAAAGTAATATAATATAGTCTGTTCAAGATTCAATATAATAAGTCTGCAAAACACATTCCAGCAATTGTAATTGAAGCAGAATGAATTGTAGTGAACTGCATTTGTATTTTTGTTGTGTCTGTGAAAAATAATAAATATACCTACCTACCTATTGGAAAAATCGTGGCCTTTCAGCACATTTGGCAGAGTTGTGTGACTCTGATTTAGTGGCTCATGTGGAATGCAACGAGCTGCGGAACAAGCTTGAATAGCATTTTGCCTCAGGGCTATCTGCCAGAAACATTTCATCTGCATAAATTTGCCTACAGGCAAGTCTGACAAATTTGTGGATTAACTGGGGTCCTTGTAAGCCTGCATATTAAATTCTAGCCCACCAGCTCAGCCCTATTCTCAGTTTCAGCATTCAGCATGATAACAGTTCTGATCAAGTTCTGATTGTCACCACTGAGACACCAATGGAGTCCTCTGAAATTTTGCCTTTCTATTAGATTATTTGTAAGAGTTTCAGCTACATTTACATAGACCAAACGTTTCACTCTCAAAGATCTGCGACCCGACCCCACTCGTCCAGTAGGATGCCTGGCGCGCAAACAGTCCAGCAGTGAGCTGCCAGCCGGTACGCAGGGCAGCAGCAGGCGGCGGCAGCAACAGCAACTAGTCAACATGTCTTGGACTGCAGCCACGACATGATCTAGGCCTATTCAATTTGTCCATGTACAAGTACCACAGCTCCTGCCCGAGGTCGCACAAGTCAGGGAACTGACCACCTCCAGCCCAGGCGTGGTTCACTGACTCAAGACATTTCAACTGACCAGTCAAGAGTTCATGTTTTGCAACTTTTATCCAAGTTATTTGTAACTGTAATATTCTAAACTGAATTTTAGGCATGACTTCATTTTTCAAGAGCTACACAGAACACGCCTTCCCTGTACAGCACGTCTATTGTCCTAACATTAGTCAAATAGTTGCAAGAAGCGACTTGAATGCGGAACCTGCCTGTTTTGAAGCCCTGTTGTCTGTTGGGTGACACTGCACAGAGGTAAGGATGGGGTGTGATTTTGCTGCTGTTTGTCAGGTGCAATATGTGTGTCAATGATCACAAAGTAGTTACTCTTAAAGGTTTAAAAAATGCACAGCATGGCCTAACAAGGCACATTACCTAGGTTTTGACAAGCAGCGCAGCGACTGTGGTACAAAGGCCCAGTCCCATGCTCATGTTAGTAGCTGGATCTGCTCCCAGGAAACACATGCAGCACTTCCGCTTTCATCCGCCATCAGCAACTCAGTTCAAAGAATGATACATTACATCACTAAAATTTATTTCAAAACACCTCTGCATGGTGTTTACACAAACAACAGTTCTTTACTAGGCATGGTCGACCTCAGGCCACCCACACTTCAGCATACAGGGTATTATCAATGTTTAACGGCTCAAGGTTAGTCGTCTTGGATGCTCAGAAATAAAAAGGTGAACATTCATCGTCTCTTCCTTAGTTGTCACCATCAATAGATTGTGGACTTCTCAGAGCATGTCTTGATTATGGAGTTGAAAGTTGAAACAGCAGTGAGCAAATCATTTATCATTTTGATACTATGATTAATTTTAGAGAGTTGCACACTTGAACTTGACACCTGCCATTGATAAGTTCATGGCTCTTGCATTCTTCAGTCACATTTAGGACGGCCTCTTCACTATTTAAATACAAAAATAAAAATACTACAAGAATTAGAAGACTATTAGAATTAGTTTGGCATATCAATTTATTTCTCCACCCGGAACGAATGGGCGCTGTTCAAGGAGGCGTTGTTATTTTTCAAGGTTTCGATAAAAACAAGTCGACAGATACAGAAACTTCGGAAAAGGCGGAAACGTCACAGGTTTTAAGTGCCAATACCAATACATTGTGGCACTTATTTGCACAGATGTCAAAATCAAACACAAATTTCTTTGCGATGAAGTAATTGCTGGAGAAACGGTTTTCACGGCTCTGATTTTCAAAGAACGCCCATCAAGATGGCTATCTCAACTCAATTCTAATGTTAAGGTGGGACAGTCCCTTTAATCCGGAACACGGAGTAGTGCAAGCAAGGATGATGGTGAATTAGTCGTAATATAGGACAGAAAGCAAACTGGCTCACCAGTCACCAGTTACCGAGCACCTGACCAGTGTCCACTTTGACATTTGGTCGCTGGTAACACAATTGTACCGGCTATATGTAGTCCTTAAAGTACGATGCGGCAGGAGCTCAGTTGCTAATAGTTGCCTAATCTGCTATTTACTTGTTCGTGTTTAAGAGCTCAGGGCGCTAATGCACAGGTAATGTGTATTGTGTTATGTGTGATAATGTGTGGAAAGCTATGCGTTTGCAATGGAAAAACACTTGCAATGGAAAAAACAGCAATATACCAACACCAATGATGTAAAAAAATGTGCATAATTTAATCCGAATAGCTTTTTTACGTTTACAGATGTCTGAAATTAAGTTAGAGACAGTCTGGAATCACTGCCATCTAGCGTCAAAAGGGGAGAACTAAAGCTTCATCCTACGTCCGCAGCAGTTGGAATGGGGTTTACAAAAACCGTTCCGGGTCAGTCAATTTTGAGTTTTGAGGAAAATGTTGCGCCCAGATATTGTTTTTATGTCCTTGCGCCAAATAATATGCCAGTTTCCTTGCAAATTTCGGTTATCGATACACTCTAGTAAGTATCCACAATTTTCTAGCTCAATTTACTGCTTCCGAGTTCCGACATTATGGAGTGGCTTTCAATCTATATAATCCTGCGTGCAATAGGGCAATTTGACACATATTTGGTCATGGGACCTCCCACCATAATCAAATTATTGATGCCTCCATATTTTCATTTCAGAAGTCTAGTTTGCCAAGTGAATTGACCTGCATATTGACTTGTCAGCCCGTGCTCTTTCACTGTCATATGACCTATTTTTTTTTCAAACAAATGCAGGTTTGGTGGGGTGACTAAAGCAACTGTTAGTATTTTCGATGTCGCAAATAAGAAATAATGGAACGGGGCACCTCATAACATTGGGCACATGAAGCATTCCCCAACGCCGCATCGTGAGTGCTGATGCGCCACGTTCGACAACCGAGGCCAATTCCAGCTCCATTCTTAGCCCAGCTCGCAACATCGTCCCAAAAGTAAAGCATGATGAAGTTTACTCCTAGTTATAATGGTAGGTTCAAATATTACGAAAATCCAACCACGATAAATGCAATAATCCTCACCTTCCTTGGGCTCCTACACCACCCGACGGAAGTTGATTTACAAAAGAGGGAGGTAAACATGTTTGAATTTATGCTCGGTTTGCAAATTATTGATATAATTGTGGCTCCTTTGTTTGAATTAAAAATTGAAAACTAATAAAAAAGCTACTCAACAAATAAATAAAATTAATTTGTTAAAAAAATCAATTTTTCTCAGCTTTTAAAACAGCACTAGGAATTTGTAAGGACAAAAACGGCGCAGTTCGGTCGTTCATTTTCCTCTTCTAAACATTTACAATATTTTCAATTTCTCAGAGGCGAAAGTCAAAGGCAAAAGCCAGTTATTTATTACTCTCTATATACCGTGTTTATTACAAGCTGGTATATGAGAGATGGGAGCATGACAATTTGTAAATGGCTCATGAAATATTTTGTTTCCTGCCAAAATATCTTTCATGAATGACCTCATTTATCAGCAGTACAAGTGAGTACAAGTATGTTTGAAGTCATGCATGCCTGGCATAAGATCATGGGTCAGGGCCTCGTCTAACATGTTAACTGGGGGGAATTGCCTCCCCAGTGGAGCATATTGTCCCCCCCCCAGTGGCCAACATTTGCCCCCCAGTCAAAACGTTAACTTCTCACAAAATAACCTCTGCAATACGTTTTTGTTAGGAATCTTATATGGATTTAACGAGAAACAAAATAATTTGTTCAATACCTATTCAGTGTACATGGCTACGGGAAAATATAGGGTTTTGTGATTTTCAGAGCTGTGCCCTGTTTCACGGCACGCCACTTCACTCCGCTTCAGCTCGCTTCACTGAAGGGTGAGTTAAACGGAACCTCCGATGCTACGGTAATGTCATCACTAAACGCCAGCGCGCTGTATTATATTGCTTGCAGTATTGTTTCGCATTGAAATAAGAAATATGGCCGCTGCATTTTATGTTTGTATTCCGCGATATATAATGCGAAGCAATACTGGAAGCAATATAATACAGCACGCTGGTGTTTTGTGATGAGGTCATACCTTAGCATCAGAGTTTCCGTTTACCTCACCGCTTCAGTGAAGCGCGCTGAAACGAGGTGAAGGGGCGTGCTGTGAAACAGGGCCCAGTCAAAATGGCAGCTGGCCAGCGACCCAGCTCGTGTTTGCCTCCCCCCCACAAACACTCAAACTCAATGAAACGCCCAACACGGATAGTATGTTTATCACTGTCTGGTGGGTCAATGTGAAGGGGTAGCACACTAATGTAGGTAAACCCTCGCCGGCACAGGGGGGGGGGGTTAATGCACCCCCCCCCCATGGTTTTTCGCGAATAACTCGCGTAAAAAGCGGCCGATCGCGACGAAACTTCCAGTAGGTACCCTTGCATTGATCAATTTTATACCTACCCTGAAAATTTCATGACCCTGACCTAAATGACCTTTGACCTGTGACCTCTTTTCCGATACCATGTCCGGAATCGCGATTCGGCGTATGTCGGCTCGCATTAGCCGCACGTTTGCAAGCTTATCGTGGTTTCAAACGTTCAAACATGTGATTTGATGTTGCTCCCATACATAAGGGTGGGTTTCAAGGTCACCTGAAGGTCAGGTCAGGTCATTGACCTTTGGTGACCTCGTGTGACCTCGGTTCACTTTTTCGAGTTTTACATGTTTCTAGGCTAGTTTTTGGAGCTGCATTCGAATTTAGCAACCATTTGAACATTTACAAAGTAGTTTTGGTGCCTTCGTAACATGTTACGAAGCTGTCAGAGGCGGTTGACACATATTACGAATGCCCGTCACAACCTCAACCGGTTGACCTGACCTGACCTGACCCGACCTGGTCTAAATGCTTAAAGACATCATCTCTGATCAAAACTAACACGATATTCGTGATCAGCACCCCGGAAAACCACATAGTAGCCACACTTTACGACTTTCTAACAGGTCCCGATTTTCCCGGTTTTCGGGTCATTGACCTGACCTGGAAGGTCACCCGATGACCCAGGACCTTAAAATTGGGTATTATCGGCTTCCTCTCGTGACGGGCAACATGCTCGTTTTTTCCGCGAAGCTCTAGCTCGATCAGGGGCCAAACGCGAGGGGGGTCGTACCCCCCCCCCCCCTTGTGCCGTCGAAGGACGCAAAATGGCCTGTGCCGGCGAGGGTTAACCCTCGCCCGTATTGGGGTTTTCCAGTCGCGAACGTATAAGGGGGGGGGGGGGGTCCGTTGGACCCTCTTGCCGTTTCGCCCCTGATCGAGCTAGAACTTCGCGGAACAAACGACCGTGTTGCCCGTGACACCAAAACTTCTTCGTAATTGTTCAAATGGCTGCTAAATTCGAAATCAGCTCAAAAACTAGTTTAAAAGCGTGTTAAACTCGAAAAAGTGAACCGATTTCATCAAAGGTCAATGACCTGACCTGACCTTTCGGAGACTTTGACACCCACCCTAATGCATGGGAGCAACATCATATCCCATGTTTAAACGCTTGAAACCACGAAAAGACTGCAAACGCTCGGCTAATGCGAGCGACGTAGGCCGAATTGCGATTCCGGCTAAACCTTGTCTCGAAAAGTAACTCACAGGTCAAAGGTCATTTGGGTCAGGGTCATGAAATTTTCAGAGTTGGTGTGAAATTGAGAAACAGGAGGGTACTGAAAGTTGTGTCGCAATCGGTCGCTTTTTGCCTATGCATACGGGCGAGGCCGCGAGGGTTACGGTATGGCGCAGATCGCCTATTTTGTTTTCGTTTTGTTTTCTTTTGTTAAAAAAATCATGTTCTCAGGGCTGTGACGAAAAACAAGTGGCCTAAATCCGGTGGGAAAACAGGATTTGGGGGTACCCTAGGTTTGGCTCCTTCAGTCTCTGCCCCCCCCCCCCTCCCCAGTGAAAATTCCTTAGACGAGGCCCTGTCATGGGTGGAGCCACAGTGTATATAAATAGGTGGAGCTTTTCCGGGGAAGTAATGGTGGGGCAAAAAGGCATCAGACCTACACTGCCCGATTGTCACGTTGAATAAAATGAATATTGAATCAATTCCTATCATTGCAAATTGAAATGTAACATTTTGTATTACATAGACAATCCAAAGCTCCCAATGATTGATTTGCAAAGAAACAGTCCTGCAAATCAGCTATAGTTGGTGGGGCAAAATGCTTATTGGTGGGGAAAAATGGCAAGTTGGTGGGGCTACCTGGTCCTGAGTAGAACAGGTGAGTGGGGCAGCCGCCCCACCAACTGTATAGGAAGCTCAACCCCTGCATAAGATGATCTTAATCTGCAATCTTCTGAATATCTTTTGATCTGCTTGAGAGTTGAGCTGAGCTACAATCTTGAGCTACAATCTAGTTCAAGGCTATGTAAACCATCTAGTTGTTCATATAGGTACACTGTGATTCCTTATGTTCATGGTAAAGGGAACTTACCATTTTCCTTAGATAAGTTTTTGCTACAGGTTTATTATTTTTACACTTAAAATGATTTTTTTTAAATGCATTATAAATTTTGAAATATTTTCCTATAGGAAAACTATTTTCCATAATCCATCTTCAGTAGAGGCTAAACAGTGTTTGCAGCTGAAGCTTATCACCGGTGGCTTGACCTGCACGCGGATCAATCATACCTATTGTACAATTCTAAACCAACTGCCTTCGCATGCTAATGCTGATTGTCTGATGTTGGCCTCTCCTAAAGGTGGCTGCATTCTTGGCATTCTTCCATAAGGTGTCACATTCCTGCACAAGGCACTAGAAGGAGGCACTTATTTTGGAATGAGAAATTAAAAATTTTGCGAAGGGTGCATGATTGTAGGGGTGTAAAAGCTCTGATGTAATGCTAGTCCCAGCTCAAGCTTCAAAAGTGTTAATTGAGTTCAAAGTTCCATGTAAAAGGTGTTATATTTCCCTTTTATCATGTTAGAATTATCAGATGATGTACAAATGCTAAGCCATTTGTAGTTTGTGCTTGATGGTACTTGGAAAGATACTACAGTAAGTAAGATTATATAAGTAGTAGTAACAATTGTTTTCAAATGTATTAAAATAAATGCCCACTAGATCCACTATTTTTTAGTTTTGAGTCAGAAGACTTATATATGTCATTACTGTATGCCTGGCCTATTCAAATACATTAGCCAGAGGGGTGTGGTAATAACTGGTGTAAGCAAATTGACCACGGTCAAAAATGCATTACCAGAATGCACTTAAGCCAACATTTTGGGATGGTCTCGTTCCTAAGTCGGCTAAGAGCTTCGGTCCAGAAAATAAATTTATCGTTGGCATACAGTAAAATACATACCAAACTCGGCCGGTGATAAATTTTCAAGACCTCAGTCCTTACTGATTTTTGAACTCGGCCTTCGGCCTCGTTCAAAAATCCAGTAAGGACCTCGGTCTTGAAAATTTATTCACACCGGCCTCGTTCAGTATTATATAGCACCATGCCACTAAATGTCAAAGTGTCGTATTCCAACTCAGAATTGCACTTGCATTTAAAGGAAAAGGGCCACCTTCGTGAAATATGAAGATATCGTTGTTTTTCATTTTGACATTATTATTTTTCATTTTCTTTTTAAAATTGGTGCCAGAAGTGCACAATTCGCGAAAAAGTATTTAAAACTATTTAACATATTGGTACTATGTTGATACTCTCTACGGCACCTACTGTATGATGGCATAGCGATGACGTCACACTCAAGCCAATCAGCGTTCAGAAGACAGACTCGTCGGATTGTGTCAGATAAGCTGATTGGTTAAAGCTGAGCTGGTTGGAGCTGATTGGTAAAAAACCAAAGCCTCGCCGCGGGTGGCTGTATTGTCGGATAAGAACGCATTCCTGGGATAAGAACGCATTCCTGGCGTATTTTCTTTTAAAATTGCCGATAACTACGAATGGAGGCCGAAATCGGTCGTAAGGAGGTAGACATTCAGGTTTTCGGACACGGGCTACAAGATGGCTATCTCAGTTTCAATCCCCATGTTAAAGGTGGCCCTTTTCCTTTAATCAGTGGGTTGCTCCTGCCAGACTGAAAATCACAATGTTGTCACAGACTCACAATTCGCCTCGTGACTCAGAAGTGGCTGACATCTGGTGGCCGTTTCCTGAACTACTATAGGTAGGATCCGGCGGCCGCTCCGCAGGCAGACCGGCCGGTCTATTCTCACGAGACCTCGGATTTTGAATACTTCTTCTTTCAAAATTGGAAAGCAATGCACATAATTCGACGAAAAATTCCTCATAGATCACGAATAATGATTCTCATAGCCCATCCTACATCCTTTCACAGTCAAAAGGGCCCTGAACAAAGCGTCCCGTGGCACTTCGTAAGCAGTATTGGTGATCACAACCAATGTTAGGGCGGTAAGGGCGGCCGATAAGGATATTGCAATCCGCCGAAAGAGCAAGGCTCCGGGCACATTGTCTGAACCCTCGCCGTAACGGTTTTCTACGTAGGTAGGTACCGCCCGATGCTATGGAACCGCCATGATATCTTAACCCGCGCCCGGCTGGGGGTCCTGGATTTCCACGCCCTGCTGGGGGGGTGTTTGAACACCCCCCCTTGTAACTCGGCTCCTGGGCCACGTAGCGATACGCGGAAGGCGGCGTTCGAAAGAGCGTCAAAAATAATGACGAAATCACTTCGGTCAATTTTTTGGTCAGGTCAAAGGTCAGGTCACCAGAGGTCATTGAAGGCAAAATTTCGCCGATTTCCAGGTCGAATGTCGAAAATTTCCAAGAAGCCAACGCATAACTCGGGAACCAATAGAGCTACAGCGCCGCGGAAAAGCGCATTCGATAGCCCTATTAACGCCCTTTCTGAGTAATTCTCTCAGATTTGACCTAACGTCAACGGTTTTGCCTGCAGGGGGCAAAAACTGCAAAAATAGCCGATTTTTTCGGAAACAGTTTTTCGGCAATAACTTTTGACCCAAGCCTTGTACGAGCTTACTTTTACCGGCATCGTGTTCCTCTCGTCAAGACGCATCGAATGAACTATAATTTGACCTTGAAAGGTCAACTTGAAAATTTGACCTCAGGTCAAGGTCATGACCTGACCGGAAAGGGTCATGTTGCATATCAGTCGATCCGTATCGTCGAGCTGAACACATCTAAGGTGTTTTCATCGCTCTAGCATGCCTCTATCAAAAGTTATTTGCGAAAAACTGTTAGATACCATTCGTGACCTAAGATGACCTCAGGGCATAAACAGGGGTCACGGACACCATTTTCATGTTCAGTGTGTCTAAACCACTTGTAATTCAGTGTTTGGGAGTGTTTATAATGTCTTCCGTCCAAAAGAGGCGCATTTCAATTTTCTCCCATTGACTTATAATGGGGAGGTCGCAAAATTGACCTGACGTTAGGTCACCGATATCAAAATTCCGAGATATACATTTTATAGATACTGTTACCCTTATCAATCGCTGAAAGTTTCAAAGCGATCGGTCACTCGGTGTAGCTATGACAGACATTGTAACTTTTTATGAGGTGAGGTCACTTCAAGTGACCTGGTGACCTGACCTTGAATGACCTTGGTCTGAAATTTTCACAACATGTGTAGAATTGATGTATGATAAGGTGTACCAAAAACGGCGGCGCGGAGCGCCGCCGTTTTTGAGATATTCGCGAAAAACCACAAGGGGGGTGTTCAAACACCCCCCCCCCCCAGCAGGGCGCGGGTTAAGAGCATTCATATGCCGGCATAAGACATTCGCCTTTTATAGCCCGTCACAGGCCGACGTGGGGCCCTCAAAAATAGGCATGGAGTTCTCGGAAACCTGCATAAGGTCCTCATTGACTACCGTTGGAACTTAAGGACCTGCGATGGGCCCCAAAACGCCACCGTAGAGCCCTCAAAGACCTGCAGATTGCAGCCTTCAGAAACCAGCGTGGACCCTCGGGTGCCGATGTAGAATGATCAGGGATTGGTGCGGGCTAACGGTGAGTTCAGTGCGGGTTCGCTCAACGTTTCAAATGACCTGTTGACCAGTGGGATGGAATGGAACAGACTTACAAAACCAGCTGCTCGAACGGCGCCCGGAAGGCGAAGGGACATGTTCATTTCACATTGCTTTTTGCTAATGATATCTGCATGTCAGGGTCAATAAGCAGTAGCTACTAGCCTGAGCACTGAGCAGGGAATGAGGGATGTATTCGGTTCAGAAGGGACTGATTCTGCTCCCAATGATAGGGGGTTGGATTATGGATATGTTATCTGTGTAATTCAAACTCAGTTCTGAGTTATCACTTCAGATTCATAAGGCTTCAGAGGGCGGAGCCTTATGACCACTGACACCAAAAATTTGTGACTTTTACATTCTTCCATTCAGTTATCAGTTACACATGTGAAAGATAAATGGCCTAAAACTGGCAATGAAAATAACTTTAAGGGTACCCCAGGCTTGTTGAAGGGAAGGTATGAATGAACACCCAAGGACGTCAGATTGCTTCCCTCTCCCAGATAGTATTCTCACACCATTGATCATATGATGTTGATATAGTTCAGGAAACAAAAGAGATAGATGTGGAAATTCAGGCCAGCTGTGAACGTATCATTGATTACAATGCCTCTAATGCCACCAATACTGCACCAACTTCTAAAGCACTGAGCAGATGTTGTAACTGATAGAGCAGACCATTTGTCGATTCAATGCTGAGCAAGGGGGTGACTGAGGTGAGGTGTAATGAGCTAAATATGTTCTGTGCTCTGCTGGACACATGTGCAGAACATATGTAGCATATTGTGCTGCACCACACATGCCAACAACATACTTAATTTTAGGTCTAATCTCTTCAGCTACCTCCTTGAAACAAGCAGCCCTCTCAGCAGCAAGTCAAAGTGGGTTTTCAGGGTTGGCAGCAAGACTCCTCAGTTCCTTCCTTCCAGGGCTGCAGCCTGCTGCTGGAAGCTGCCTCAGAAACCCTAGCATAGTGGAACAGCTGCTTTTAGCAGTGGCATCGGGTTGGCAGCCATCACTTCTGATTTACGGTTTTGGTCAAATGCCACTAGTTGTAGTCTGGGTCCTGTCTTTTGTACGTAAGTGTGGTCATGTCATTGTCATACCATGCTATTGTTACAACAGGAAAGATTGCATATGCACCTTATTGCCTGAAATATATCCATTATAATTATGGAAACAAGATCATTTAAGGAATTGCCATGCGTCGACTGAGACCAAAAGTCAAAGGTCATGGCGATTTCTGCAGCCAAATGCTGTCTGATATTCACTAGCGATAGCAGGGTAATTTACTCCGAAGGTCAAAAACCCAAAACGTTACATAAAAGGAATCAAAAATCGATAATAATCAGCTTCCCCAACCCCAATTTCCACTGAAGCTAGATGATACAGAAATACATGTTTACCGGTATTCGTAACTCGTGCGCCATATTCGCTATCCTTTCTATACGGTTCTACAGTGCTGCCACCTAGCGAGGTGTCACGAGGCGAATTGACACTATGGAATGATGTGAGACTGAATTTGCCTGTCATAGCCTTCATTGTGTGGCAGATGCATGACATAGGTACTGTTTTCCTGTATTAGGCGGAAAAAAATAGGAAGTGACACTGCCCATCTGTTTTACATCCATTGCTGTATGTCTATGTGTCATTATCCACTGCACTTAGTGTTTTCACTATGTCTGTTTACCTACCTGTCAATGTGGTAGACACCATAAAACCATGTCTATGGAGGATCTGAAAGAGCTATCTGTATCTGAGTTTGACCTGCTCATCTTTCCACAGATTGCTGGTGATTCTGAAGTAGGATGACTGAGTAAAGCTGCTTCTCAACCATGTCACTGACTTCAGACCTGGACAAAGAACTGGACAGTGCATCAATAAATGTCTTGTCAACCTGGGATGCTCCAAAAAGCTATCAAGGCCTTGATTCTGATGGAGAGCTATTACCAATTTCCTCAAGTACAGTGTGTCTGAATGATCAAAGTACACCAGGACCAATTCTTGCAGTTTTGGATGCTTCAGAACCTCCTAATGATGTTGAATTTGAAAAACAAGCAATATCAGCTCAACTAGTATCAGAAACCCAAGATGTGGCCCAGTCAGATGCTGAAGTTACAGAGAGCAATGGGTCCCAGTGTGAAACCTTGCCAACAACAGCTAAAACAATCATCATCAAGAAGCCAAACGCCACTGTGTCTGTGTCATCTCCTGCCTCTGCCGCTTCTCCCAGTGGCGGGAAGGTGGGAACTCCTCGCAGGCAACTGCAGCTGATCTGTGAGAACGGCCGTGTGGTAGCAGCCCCTCTGGCCGTCGGTCGGCCGCACAGTCCATCCAAGACACACACGTCGAGACCAGCCGCCTCAACCACAATCGTGACCCAGAAGAAGCAGGATGTGTGTGTTGTGTCCTCAGTGATCGATGCGCCCACCGCAGTTGGTATGGAGGAGAGCGATGGGACGTCGCAGACAGCGGAGCTGCTGTCCGGAACGCTGGTGTCAGACGATGGCTTTGGTGAGACTGACTGGATCATTGACATTGACGGCGATGGCAGTGCTGATGGGCATCACTTGGAACCAAAGAATGCCAAGGGCCTCAAGAAATTAACTACGGTTGCCAATGCCATGGGCACCTTGGGTGCCGAGGAGACGACCCACACCACACGCGGCAGGATAGAGGCCGTGCCGCGGAGGTCTCGGCTGGTTCTCGACAACGCTGGACCGCTGGCCGATGCGTCCTCGGCATCAGCCGTCCTCAGCGCAGTGGAGTCTGCCGCGGGCGCGGCGACCGCCGTCTCTCACGTCGTGTTCGAGTCGACCGGTCGCGCCGTGGGGGCGCTCGTCCCGGCACCTGGCACATCAGACCAGGAGGGCCAGCAACCAGTGGTGCTCGCTGAGCAGGGCGAGCACCAGGTGGTGCTCGCTGGGCAAGGCGCACACCAGGTGGTGCTGACGGAGGCGCAGGTGATGCGGGCGGCGCGCCGGAGTAAGCACCTGATGCTGACAGGCCAGAATGGTACCCACCAGGTGGTGCTCTCGGCCCAGCACGGGGACCAGCAGGTGGTGCTGACGGGACAGGACGGCGACCAGGTGGTGCTGACGCTGGACAGAGACCTACTGAGATCGGCTGGAGCTGGCGACGGCGGAGACGTCGTTCTCCAGGTGAGTCCCTGACATCCTTTGATGTCATTGTCTTTTACCGTGTAAGTTAACGCATCTTTTGGGAGAGGAGTTAGATAAAAGCAGATCTCTTTGTGGAACTCTTTCCATTTTTAATGGCATACTGAAGCGAAGGCAACGGCGCCTTGGAAAGAATATAGCATTGCATGCTGTACTTTTGTGTGTCACAGAAGACTGCGATGTCACTTATCTCGCTTTATCCACTCTTGATTGATTTTTTACTCATATGAGAGCTCACGTGTATGTGCTCTTCCAACTCGGCTGATTCTATGGTTTGCTCGGCAGGTGGACGAGGCCGCCGACTCCGTCACCCTGCTAGTTACCCAACCAAAGAAGGAGGTCACTCGCGAGGTGATCAACGACGTGGGAGAAGTCCTGGAGCTCTGGGAGCGCGACACAGGCGGCGCCGACCGCCTGCTGGGAAGCGTCACGGAATCTAGTCTGGTGGACATACGCGCCGTGTGCGAACAGTGCGGCTGCGTGATCACCCACCACATGGTGGGCCTGCTGGTGCGAGACGACGGGACGGAGTACGGGTTCCGGTGTCGACAGTGTCAGTGTGTTCACACAGACGTGGATGTCATGGCCAAACATATGGACTCGCACCGATCGATACCTGATACGCAGTGCAGGTTTTGTTCGAAAGGTTTGCGCACATTCAAGCCTCAGATTGAGCGAGTGTTTCCGTGTCATGCGTGTCATCAGGTGTTCTTATCAAAGCCAGAGCTGCTGAAGCATCGAGAAACACATCCGCTTAAGCATCGGTTCCGGTGCGAGATCTGCGAGAAATCGTTTCCGGTGAAGGCTCAACTCGAGGTTCACCTGCGGACGCATCTCGGTCACAGGCCTTACACATGTGACATGTGTCCGGCAGCGTTCACTCAGCCTAGTCATCTCATCAACCACCGGCGAACACACACCGGCGAAAGGCCCTACACCTGCAGGCATTGCGGTCGGTCGTTTGTCCAACAGGGTCATCTACGTGCTCACGAGCGGACGCATACAGGCGAGAGGCCCTACAAATGTGAGATGTGTGGACGCGGATTCAGACAATCGGGCCAACTCTCGGCACACAAGAAGCTACACGAGGGAGAAACGCCGATCAAGGTTCGCCGTCGTCATTGGGAACCGTTGGCGCAGGAAGAGATCACATGCCAGGTATGCAAGAAGGTATTTAAACTGCCTAAAGATCTTAAGAGGCACATGGTCGTCCACGAAGAGGGCAAATTCAAATGTGAAACATGCGAACGGACGTTTAAAAGAGCTGATCATCTGAGCCGACACAAGTTACAACACGAAAAGACGACGAAAAGGAAGAAACGGCGGCGATCTGCATCTCGATGTGGACACCGACAAGATGAGTCTCTGAACCAGCTGGATCGTGTGATTGACGGCATCCTCGACCAGCGCATCGATGAGGAGTCTGAAGACGCCCACACAAAGCTGGAAGCCGACTTCGATCTTAAGGTGGAGGAGGAGGAAGACGACTTCATCGACTCAGATGAAGATGCGGATGATCTGGAGGACGCCAATCTTCTCGGCGACAGCGCTGACACCAAACAGCATGATCGTCGCAGCCTTGTGTCGCGTGCCCCCAAAGACGCGCTTTGGTCTCAAGCAGATAGCAGCGACGACACTCGCTGGTCCTCGTCAGCGCTTCGCAAGGAGCGAAAGCCCGACGAAGACTCTGAGTACGACCGTTCCAGCCGCCTTCGTGTTTCGTTCACAGATGATGGCGTCGACGAAGAGATGGAGATGCTGACGGAAGCGTTGAAAGAGCGAACTGACCGAGCAAAGTTAAAGAGAAGCCGTGCCACAAAACAGGAGCGCATTGGATGGACGGAACCAACCGTGAAAGAGGAACCAGCAGAAGGCTGGGGGTGGGAGCGTGACGGAGGAGCTGGCGACAGCCGAAGGAAAGACGACGCTGACGCGATCTGGGCGGAAGGGAGTGGCAGTGACGCAAGTGAAAAGCAGACGCAAGTGGCAGTGGGAGTGTCCAAACGGCCTCGTGACTCGGTACCAACTGACTGGGATGATGTCTACCAGTCGGAGAAGGTAGCTGTGGCACCGTCCCGGGGAACGAAGGTGCGAGTAAAGGGGGCTACCGGAGCCGTTCTAACCCTGCGAACTACGTCACGCAGTACGGCTGGTAACCGGGCCGCCAATGTCGGAGTCAGCCTTTCAAGGGCTCCGCATCGCGATGGAAAGCGCTAGTCGGACTGTAGTTGAACTTTCGTGAAACGGAAGGTAGTACAGGCTGTGGAGTTAGTGTTTGCGTATCTGCTTGATTGCGTGTGTGAATCGGACTGTTTCTGATGCTTTGTTTGATGTGTTATGTTTTGAAGCATTATTGAAACAACATTGATAAGGTGATTTCTCTGCTACCAATGATATGCATCTCACCAGTGTTTCTCACCAATAGTACAGTTATCAGTGTTTCTGATTGGTCAATACCTATTTCCTACGATGTTACAGCCCAGATCAACAAAAGTTCATTAAAATATGAATTGTTGGAATAAAATGTGTTTTGCAACAAGTAACAACTCTTTCTAATTTTGGCAGTGTATGCCTGCGTTTTTAGCCATCATAAATCATCAATACCTGGATGGTAGTATGACATTGCAATATGTTCAAGCAAATGACGCCATTACTGTCACACGCCACAATACTCTCCCGTATTGTTGTTTTTCAACAATGTAGGAATGGGGGATCTGTTAGACCCCTCCAGCTGTTCGGCTCCTGGTCGAGCTAGAGCTTCGCGGAAAATAACGAGGGTGTTGTCCGTGACAGGAGAAAGCTGATGGTAGCCAACTTAAACCCTCGCGGGCCCGGGGGGGGGGGCGTTTTTATCATCCCCCTAAAGCTTTTCACGAATATCTTAAAAAACGGGGCGCGCAGCGGCGCCGCCTGAATGCATGAATAAATTCTATATATGATCAAAACTAAATGGAGTTCGTGATCAGCGCAACAAGATAACATCCTCACTTAACGAATTTTTGGCATGTCCCGATTTCCCCGAATTGTGTGTCATTTACGTGACCTGGAAGGTCAACCAATGACCTAGCTAGGACCTTAAAATTAGGTATCATCGGCTTCCTCTTGTCATCGGCATTACGCTCTTTTTCACGAAGCTCTAGCTCGATCAGGGGCCGAACGGCAAGGGGGCGGGGGGGGGGGGCAACTGACGCTGGCAAAACACCAGAACGGGGGAGTGTTAACCCGCGCGGGGCTGGGGTCTCCAGCCGAACGCGCGGGGCTGGGGGGGGGGGGTAAATTTTACCCCCCCCCCCCCTGTTATCTCCCGAACTAATGGTCCGATTTGGAAAATTCAAACGCCAATCGAAAGCTCTCATCACGAACTACTAAAAACATGTACTTAATTTAAAGTTTGAGGTCAAGGTCAAGGTCAGGTCAAGGGTACAAATTGCAAGTTTCTACAGTATCGGCCTTGCACCGTAGTTACCGAAGAATGGAGTCATGGACTGAGACTGATCGCCCAAAACGTGTTGTTAGGCTACCAAGACAATATTAGTTGCATACAATATCATTCAGAGGTCAAGGTCAAGGTCAGGTCAGGTCAGGTCAGGTCACCAAAAAACAAAATATAGAAAAGGGCATGTGCGACACATGTTTTATGGGTCATTTTACTCATAGAATTCAATAGGCACACTCAATAAGTGATATGGACCACCTCTGGATGAATTTCAGGTCGAGGTCACGTCAAGGTCAGGTCAAGTGAGGTCAAATTTTGAAGTTGGTTGTTAAGGCCTAAAAAGGTGTCTATCTGATGCCGTTTTTCACGGCGAATCGAATGGTGCTATTTTTGTTCCCGTCCGACCCAGTAAACATGCCGACGTCGGCCCGACGTCGGGCCGAGGCTCGGCCCGACGTCGGCCCAACGTCGGTTCAACCTCGGCCCGACATCGGCTGGACGTCGGATATGCCCGCATGTTCCGACGTCCAGCCGAAGTCCAGCCGACGTCGGGCCGAGATCGTTTGCCGAGGTTGACGAGATCGTTTGTCGTTGGACCGACGGGGCCGACGTCGGCATGTTTATTGGGACAACGCGCCAAAAATATCAACCGGCGGCACTGGCGGTCGCAGCCGCTAGCAAAAGGGGGGGCCAAAGTCACACTCGCGGGACATAACATTTATCCGCCACCGGGAGGGGGGGGGGGGGGTGATCGGCTAATTTTTTACGTCCACGAGGTGCCGCGCAGTTGGCATTACTTATGCTTCATCATTCATCTGATTCTTGCGTGAAATCTTTAAGCTCAATTTAAGGCAAAATCACCAGTTCCATTTCCCGTCCCACGGTGCTTCCACCGCACACTGGTCGGAAACGCCCTCACGAGAGGCCACGGGCGATTCCGGAGTTTCGGATTATTTTTTATATAGATCGATTTGAAATTGATCAAATTATTATACTTAGGCCAAAAAAGCTAATCCGGGTGACCAAAAATAGCTGTAATCAGCCCCCGAAGATGGGGTATCCCAGAACTCGGAAACTGACGTGGAGCAAGAGGTTTCTTGAGCCGGATATTCAGAGTCTTATTGCTGATAGACACCAAATTGAAATCCCACATATTATGCATCAAAATGTTCGTTATGAAGTTGCCGACTGGTCAGTGCAAAATTTTTGATATACTTTTTCCCTAACTAAGATGTACTATAGCTTTTTTATGAAGGCTCTCCTACAGTGATTCTGGAATATAACTGCAAAGTTTAGGTAAGGAAACAACAGGTAGTCCCATCTAGTTCCACTCTGATTTTTTGTGAGATGAAGTAGGATTTAAATTTACACCAGGGCAACATAAAAGCTAACTGCGCATATTTGCGCAAAATTTGCAGGAGCCGCTCTTCCTACCCAACTACCGCCCGCCCCGCCCCAGTTTCGGCTCGGCCGCCGCGCCCGGCTTACGCTGACCTGTGTGGCCTGCACGCATCCATGCGTAGTTAACTGGTCATTAAAAACAGATGCGCTTGAGTTTATGAATTTTGTGAAAAGCGCGTTTTATGTATGCATTTATGTATGTATTGACATCAAAAACCTCCCACATATTGCGTGGCGATTACGGCTTGCATTTAGAGAGCCTTGCTATTGACAACCATCACTCGGCTGAAGAAAGTGGAAATTGAAACCTTCGTGAATATAAGGCGCTGCAAATACCTATAGGACACCTGTCACTGACGTCGGGTTACCTTAGGCCGTCTTTTTACATTAGATCACAATTCCGGTATTTAACCCTGGCCGGACCGATTGGTTTTCTACATTGACCGGGGAGGGTTGGTACAACTCCCTCGCCGTTTCGTCTCTAATTGAGCTAGAGCCTCGCGAAAAAAAACAAGCTTGTGTGCCGTTATAAGACGCAAAAATTAGGTACTTCCCGATTTTAAGGTCTTAGGTCAGCCAGTGACCTCTTAGGTCAGGTAAGTGCCACAAGGCACGGGCTCGGTTTTAGGTTAATTACTTTGCCACAAATTTGTCGCACTGCCGCGATTTTGGCATAATCGTGTTTGTCTAGCTCAGGCGCGTTGAATGCTATACTTGGTGTTCGGGTGAAGGCAACTTAACCCTCGCCGGCACAGGCCATTTTGCGTCCTTCGACGGCACAAGGGGGGGGGGGGGTTGGTACGACCCCCCTCCCTCGCGTTTGGCCCCTGATCGAGCTAGAGCCTCGCGGAAAAAACGGACGAGCGTGTTGCCCGTCACAAGAGGAAGCCGATGATACCCAATTTTAAGGTCCTAGGTCATCGGGTGACCTTCCAGGTCAGGTCAATGACCCGAAAACCGGGAAAATCGGGACCTGTTAGAAAGTCGTAAATTGTGGTTGCTATGTGGTTTTCCGGGGTGCTGATCACGAATATCGTATTAGTTTTGATCAGAGATGATGTCTTTAAGCATTTAGACCAGGTCGGGTCAGGTCAGGTCAGGTCAACCGGTAGGGGTTTGACGGGTATTCGTAATACGTGTCAACCGCCTCTGACAGCTTCGTAACATGTTACGAAGGCGCCAAAACTACTTCGTAAATGTTCAAATGGTTGCTGAATTAGAATTCAGCTACAAAAACTAGCCTAGAAACATGTAAAACTCGAAAAAGTGAACCAAGGTCACCCGAGGTCACCAAAGGTCAATGATCTGACCTGACCTTCAGGTGACCTTGACACCCATCTTATGTATGGGAGCAACATCAAATCACATGTTTGAACGTTTGAAACCACGAAAAGCTTGCAAAAGCGCGGCTAATGCGAGCCGACATACGCCGAATCGCGATTTCGGCCAAACATGGTCACGGAAAAGAGGTCACAGGTCAAACTTCATTGGGGTCAGGGTCATGAAATTTTCAGGGTAGGTGTAAAATTGATCAATGCGAGGGTACTGAAAGTTTCGTCGCGATCGGCCGCTTTTTACGCGAGTTATTCGCGAAAAACCTTAGGGGGGGGGGGTGCATCAACCCCGTGCCGGCGAGGGTTAAGGTGTTAACCTCGGGTCAATGTCAGGTCGGAGTCCCTCAGGTCACGAAAATGGTTGAAGGAGGTCATATCGCATATCATTCGATTCGGCAGGTCTTCCTGAGTCCAATGGTGGCTTTCCCGACTCTCTAGCTCCATCTGATCAGGAGTTATTGACGAAAAACTTACATGGCCTTAGTGACGTCATAAATGACGTCACGCAAAGTCAACAATGCTAAAGTCAAGCACTGGACCTTGCAAGGAGTGCATGAAACCATTCCCGGTGCCCGAATAGCAGCTCCCAATTTCCCTTGTTGACTTAAAGTGGTGCTAGATCCTGTATTATACTCAATTATGACGTCATAACTTAACAGATTTACGTCATATATTTAGTGCTTGACATACAAATGATAGCTTACATATGACAGAGAAGGTATGCAAAGTTTTATGAAGTTTGCTTCACTAGTTGTGGAATAACAAGCAAAAAACTTTTGCGGAAAGGCCGCTGGCCTCTCGCTGGAGCGTTTCCGACCAGTGTGCACCGGTCGGCCCACTGCACCATGACGACGGATCGGTGTAGCATAGGTGTATACTGGAAGGCCAGGCACGCGGATTCATGACCTTACCACTATAAAACAATTCGGAAAAGTACAGACACCTCTTGCTTTGAACAAGCATGTGAAACCCAGAGAGCATTTTCAGACTATGACATTTACCCATATAGGTAACATTAAACATACCTAGTTGTGTGGCGGCGGGAGAGAGTAGGTACACCGACCTCTGGAGACCCCCACAGGTTCCGAGCTTTCAAAATTGGCATCTGAGGGCCGCGCGCGACTCCTGCGGGGCTTCGCAGCGGCTCTATTGGGGCTCACTCAACCTGCCTAGTCTTACTGCTAAAAAGACTGGCCCTGAGCCCTAAGGACTTCATCAGTCTCTGCCAGCCCCAGGACCCACACCGGCTCATGGGGTCTTGACGTCGAAATATGAGGGAATCTGCGCGGGACCATCAGGACGTAAAGTAATCTCGATCAGGACCAACGTAAGGCTGTGCCGGAGACTGCGTGAGCCCTCTGATCTTCA